TCCGCCCCGTCGGCGCCGCAGCGCCGCAAGCGCACGTCGTTCAGCCCCGAGCAGCTGCAGCTGCTGGAGCTGGTCTTCCGCAGGACCATGTACCCCGACATCCACCTGCGAGAGCGCCTGGCCGCGCTCACCCTGCTCCCCGAGTCCAGGATCCAGGTGAGCGGGGCGCCCGGGGCGGTCGCCTGTGCGCCCCGGGAGGGGGCCCCCCGCGGTTCGCGGCCGGGACTCCAGGGCGCTTCCCTGATTTTTGGCAAGTGACTTCCCTGGAGCCTCAGGGCCCTAGATTGTCACATAGGGACGCTACCAGCCAGTGCCCACTGCACAGGGATCCTGTGAGGCGTAAATGAAATAACTCAGGCTCCCGCGCAGTGACTTCTATCTCTAACTGTTCAGTGTAATAATAGCCCCCCCCCGCCCCCCCAGGAGGCTGGCTGGGACCTGAAATGGTCAGAAAATAACTCCTCAGGCCGAAGGTGATAGGAAATATTTTCACACTTTTTTTTTTTCCTGGAAAAAGAACAAATGAGGCATAGCTGGGGTTTCCCACTGGTGGTAGCTGAAAGAGGGCAGGGCCGACTCCCCAAGTTGCCCCTGGTAGGCCACCCTCTTGGCAGGTATTGGGTCTGGAATTTTGGTTCAAAAGGATGTAGCATCTGGGCGGGGGGACGGACGCTGGAAGCAAATGAGCTTGCCACAGTTTGAAAAATCTAGTCAAAGGCGCATTTACTGCTTAACTGAGATGGGAATCCTGGAGCGCGGTGGTAAGGAGGAGCGTGCCTTTTTTTGCCTGTTTGTCTGTGGCACCTCGGCCTGAGTCCAAGTGCAGTTTTGAGCAGAAGCGCTCATTTTAACCCTGGGAGAGAGCGGGCTTGTTTTTCTGCATCCCGGCTGGAATGTATGTTGGTTTGAACCGTTGGTACAGAGGCTTCCTAAGCAGGACACCTTCGGTATTTGTTGGGAAAGAGCAGAGAAGCGAAGTCCACCGAGCGAAGTACTTCCTTGATTAATTTAACAAGGGCGTATGTGTACTCTTAAAAATGGATTTTTCTAAATTACTTTAACATCTACATCTGTAAGCCTAGTAGCACTTTCCCCCCCTCAGATGCTACGTGCTTCTATTTCTGGCCCCCACCGTGGAAGCGGGGAGCCGGGGGCCTATTAATCTGGAACTTCTTATTAACTGTGAAGGTGATCGTAGTGGAAGGACTCCAACCAAAAGCGTTTCTTCTGCCCCTTCTTCCAGGTGTGGTTCCAGAACAGGCGAGCCAAGTCGCGGCGTCAGAGCGGGAAAGCCTTTCCACCTTCCCCCAGGCCCGGGCTCTTCCTCCATCACCCTGCTCACGGGACTGAAGCAAAATGCTTGAAGCCCCAGCTGCCTCTTGAGGTAGATGTGAACTGCCTGCCCGATGCCAACAGGGCCGGAGGGGGCAGCTCTGACCCTGGCTCCCAAGGTCAGAATTGCGAAACCTATTCTCTCCCTGAAGACATTGGTTCAAAGCTGGACTCGTGGGAGGAACACATCTTTTCTGCCTTTGGCAACTCTTGAGGATTCTAGAATGCAGGACAAGCTCGGAGGAGCCAGGACTGACAGCCAGGGAGACACATCGGAATACTGTCCTTTCTGGCATCCACGTTAGGGACACATCCATGTTAATCTTGATGATGGTTTTGACAGTCATCTGTCACCCGTGGAGGTTCTTCCCCTTTGCCTCTGAACCTTTGCCCAGGCCCATTTTTTTTTTCCTCTCTAGCACACACCCCTAGGAGTTCTGGCTTGTATTTTCACTTGTGTATCTCCAAATCTGCACGTTCAATTCGGTCTCTGTCCCTGCACCTCCTTGTCAGTCCTGTTCTCAGTTTTTGGACTGGTTCTGCAGAATTCATTATGTTGTGCACAAGGATGCCTCAGCTTGATTTGGTTTCCCTTTGTGCTTGACAACTGCCGTCTTCTCATGCTTCCTCTAAGGTTTATAACCTTAAACTCTAATCCGTCTCCTTCAATCCTCACCCTATCACCAAGATTCACCACTTTTTTATTTGGCCTATCATCTGTACACTCAGTCGTGGCTCCAGGGATTCCTTGTCCAGATTATTTCAAGAGCTCCCTGCCTCTAGGTTCTCAGCTTCTAAAAATTGACTCTCTTTAGATCAGGTGAGTAAATTGCAAAACAGGAGCAAACTTTTGGACTACTGACTTAAAATACAGAGTTTTGTGTGTGTGGTTTTTAAAATCGTTAGGACAAGTCTCAGATACTTTAGAATTTAACAAATGGATCTCCGATTTTAAAAACTCGCATAGTTTTCAAAAAAAGTAAAGCTGGTTAGAAAAAAGCAAATTAATACAAAAGAGATAATAAAGACTTAAACATTCTCAGAACCAAATTAAAATAACTGTTAAAAAAAAAAAAGGTTCATTGACTTAAGTCACATACCCCAAGGATAATAAAGCCACATGTGTAAAAGTAAAAAAATAAGTTACTCCTTTCAAAATTTGTAGTATTCTGCAATTGCTACCAAATTATAAAAACTGTCTGTTACCCTCCCAGATAACTGACACCTATAACCTACAGAGCAGCTATGCAGATCTTCTTAGGGTCACCCGTCCACAAGTTATGTCTCTGTCTCAAAGCGTCTCCTTTCAGTTTTTGGAACCAAATACCTCTTTCAAAACACTGGAGACCTCCTTCTTTCTGAAGTCGGTAACTTTCTCCAAGCCCGATTTTGTACTTGTTACTCCAATTACTCCAACATTAATTACCCTTAGCACTTGTTACTGTACTTCTATGCAACTTTGCTGGATTATTAAATGTTTCCCACAGATGTTTCATTGTAATTCTGTTTAAATGAATTCCGTCCTTTAGATAGCATTTTGTTCGGTATACCTTATGTGACCATGAAAAACATTTCTAAAAGAAAAACATCTCTGCAAATGTAGTTCATAGCCAGTGATCTTCCACCAGCAGGCCACTGTGCTGAGAAACTGAACTTGGTTAAAAGCGTATCTTTGGCTTGTTCAAAGTTGAATCACATGAGTCTTTTGGTTTCAGGAGATTTCTCTTTCTCTGAACCCTAATATTCAGAGGTGTTATTCAAATGGCTTGCACCTTCCAGAGTAGTAAATTCACTATTAAAAGCAACAAGGACATAGTTCAGGCTTTAGTAGCAGACTTGACTTCTGGACCTTGAAAACCATCTGGAACCACAATGAGATGATAAACATTAGCGATTATTACTTTAAGGGTTGGCTGTGTGCCAATCATTGTGCTTAGGGCCAATTGCGGGGGTACCCAGGTCTTGCAGAGCTTCCTTCGCATGTATTTGTCTACTTACTTATTTTTAAAAATACGTTTATATTGACTTTTTAAAGAGAGAGGGAGAATAGGCAGACACATCCATGAGAGAGAAACATCATCGATCGGCTGCCTCCTGCACACCCCCTTCTGGGGATGGAGCCCACAACCCAGGCCTGTGCCCTGACCAGGAATCAAACTGCGACCTCTTGGTTCCTGGGTTGATGCTCAACCACTGAGCCACACCGGCCAGGCCTTTCCATTTAGACTTGTGACACGGCCAAATGAGATAGCATTCACTGAAAGACTAAGGATCACATTTAAAAATAGATCTTGTAATTAGCTCATTAACTGTATTACTGCATTTATATTGTTACATTGTTTTTCCTAAGAGAACAATTGAAAGAATTTTGTTACATTTTTAATTTTTAAAACTGTGGATCTTCTAGTCTGCACCTCTTTTAAACTCTTAAGAGACCCTAACTGCTAAATGCATTACAAGCATTATGTTTAGACCTCACAATTGCCAAATAAGGTAGGCGCTATTATTTTAAGGATCAAAAAATTTAAGCGGTGGTTCAGAACCACACAGCTAATAAATGACAGCCGGGACTCAAACCTAAGACTCAGTCCACATTAATCCACCCCCATGTAATGCTTCCTATACTGGCCTGGCCTTTTAAATTTGGGGTAACGATAACATCATAGGTTTAAAGGCAACCCCCTAATCATAATTTCTACACCGAACTGATTACTGCCTCATCTTTCAAAGCAATCATCGTGAAAGCCCATATTTCTATTCCAGTGGCACTAATATTGCTTAGAGCTCTTTTGAAACTCTGATTTATTCGTTCATTCCACAAGTATTTGGTGCCTACGAACAGATGCTTTACCAGGGCCTGGAAATAAATGAGAAAACCGGAAACAGTCCTTTCCCTCACTGAGCAAAGAAGGCAGTATGGACACAAAAGAAATAGAAAATTGTAAATATGACATGTGCTGGAAGGAAAGGTACACGAGGACCTGGAGATGTGTTGTAGTTGGGGAAGCTTCCGAGAAAGTGACGCTGAAGGTGAGATCTGTAGGATGACGTGTTACCGAGGTGAAGAGAGGTAACAAATGGGACACTGCATGTGCAAAGGCCCTCATGGGGCAAGGAGTGACTGAGAAACTGGAGGGAAGGCCAGGCCACACCTGGCTTTGCAGGTCTTATAAGAGTTCTGAATTCGTCCTGAGAGCCCCAAGACTTTAGATGGGGATAACATGACCAATTCTGCATTTTAAGAGTATCACTTAACGATGGCTGCACTTGAGGAGGGCTGAGTGAACACAGGGAGATGATAAATGAGGAGACAACCTCAGTGTGCCAGGCTAGCGATGACAGCGGGGCAGAGTCATTAGTGATAGTGAAGATGGAGAAAGGCATGTGAATTTAAGGGAAAATAGGTAATAGGCAAATCTTCTGGTAGATTCACAATGGTAGCAAGTGACTCTGATTTTTGAACTAACTTAAAGTAATTCAGAACCAAATGTACCTGACACATGATGGGCTCGCTTGTTTGCTCAGTCTGGCCTTGATGGCTTTCTTTAGAGCTCCAAAAAGGTGTTAACCAGTGGCGGCATCATTCATATTAATGTACAGCTGACCCAAAATGACTATTTGGATTATATTGATTTCCTGTTCCCTAAACAAACAAAATTAAAATATACTCTTAGACACAATTCCTACACTCAACATATGATAGCGCTGAAAGATATCGGCAGTACTTAAACATGTGCAAAATGGGGTTTAATTTAAGTGTGACAAGTCTTTTTTTTAAAAATATATCTTTATTGATTTCAGAGAGGAAAGGAGAGAGAGAGAGAAACATCAATGATGAGAGAGTCACTGATCGGCTGCCTCCTGCACGCCCCCGACTGGGGATCCAGCCCGCAACCCAGGCATGTGCCCTCACTGGGAATTGAACCCTGATTGCCTGGATCCTAGGTCGATGCTCAACGGCTGAGCCACGCCTGGCCGGGCGACAAATAAGTATTAAGAAATATAAAATGTAAAAATACTTACCTAATGCTAGGCAGAAAATATTAAAATTGACCTTTCATTAGGTCTACAGTAAGCTGAGTAACTTGCTTGCTTAGCATTTTCCTCAGTCATTTACTCAGGGTTCGAAAAAACTCCACCTTAAAATAATATTGGATAGCACTGTAATTCAGAATGAGTTGGTAATTAATCTGTAGTTTCCCCTAAAAATAAAATTTAGTAAAAATTACAATTCTTTAAAACTTCTTAAATAGGACTACTTAACAACTTATATTAACTAAAGAAAAATGTAGACAATATTAATTTTCATAGATCAATTTATTTAGAATTACAAATATTAAGAATAAAAGATTTATGCTTTTCTTAATTAACATAACAGTTGAGCTAAATATAAACTCTGCACTAAAGTTCTGCAGTGGCACAGAATCTGGAAGCATTTTTAAACTATACAAAAATTTCAAATGGAAAATAATCTTGTTTCAGTTTTATTATACATTAACATATAAAAAGCCTCATTTTATGAGACATCTAAAGGAATTAAAGCCACTTCTACAGCTATATCTTAAACTCCAAATCTGAAAACAATTTATTATATTTTGACTTTATAATATTCTATATTAAAACAAAGAGAATTCCAAATACACACTTTTTACAAGATTAATATTTTAGGCAGGGTTTTCCTTAAAAAACAAAACAGAAAAACAAAACCACAACCAAATATAAACCTTTTATCTGTATTTCACAGGACTGGTTATTATATGTTTTCCTTATAAAATCTTTTTACTTTATAAATGGTATATTGTTGGATTTTAACCAGTAATCTGGTTCAAAAGTTGTGCAAATAAACAAAAAATATGAAAATAGTGTGTTATCAGTCTTTTTTTAATAAATCTCATAACAATAGCATTCTGCCCTGAATTGACGGGAAAAGACATGCCAAATCCATGTGCTGAAATTCAGCATTTTGCAAGTAATGTTTTTTTCCTGCTCCTTCATTTTCTTTCAACAGACAAACAACAAAGGTTTCTTTTATAAATTATGATAAATTAAAATATTTATTATTATAAAATGATCTACAGAACCATGTCACACTGCAAGTATATACTCTATATACTTGTACAGTCCGTATTTTCCATCTACATTCCAGTGCCTTCCTTCAACTAGGACTTCCCATATCTCATGTTCTTTTGAAGACTGAGATGGTGATTGACTAAATGAACCGCAGGTGTCATTTTCTAGATGGAATTTCCACGTTGCCACGCATGTGCAGAGGAAGACTGTTTCTTCATGTCCTCCACTACAGCTGTCTGCACATGTAGGGTTGAATTCATGCACATTAAAAAAACTGTCAATGTATTCCTCTCCATGAAATTATGTTCAGACATTTTCAGTTCAAAAACTACTTGCTAATAAACATATGTAACACAAGCAATGTTACTGCAGCTGAATAATGAAAGAAAAATAAATATAACGGTGGTCAGCAATGCTGGGTTAAGAAGCAGTACAGTATATTAAAATGCCTTTTTTGGGGATATAAATTTCCCTTGTTTTCCAGCAGTTAGGTTACTTGGTGTTGGAAGCCTATATAGAGGAAAAGAACTCGAAACACTGTCCTATGCAGTTGGAATAACTAAGTCTTCTACTCAGTCTCTGTTGGTGTTATTTGCTGCAAAGGCATGTAAGTTTCCCATCTGGCTCAGGCCGCTCTGAATATGTGCAACATGGATTTCTACATTATTCTGAAAGCAACTAAAGAAAGAAGAAACACAGTTAACTGCTTGATTTCACAAAATTAAAAACAATTTTTACAAAAGGAAAAGCTGAATGTTATTAGGAAATAGCTAAGATGAGGCTCCCAGGGAAGGAATAAATCTCCCCCTCACATTAGCCCTAATTCTACATCAGAACTAACAGAAAAAGTATGCTTGAAAGAAGCAAAGATCGAATGAGTGACAGAGGATGAGCCTCTTTGATCGGGAGTCCCTACTTCTAAGTTGAACCTCCATCTAAACCAAAACCTAAATATTATGTCTTCTGATTCCTTTATATAAAAACTCCATGTGAAGTTTCTATTCTATCAATAGACTGAATATAACTGAAAAGCTCTTCTACAATTTATTTAAAGGATACAAATTATATAAATATTTCACAAATATGCTTAATTCTTAAAACTGGTCCTGGAAATCACTATGAATTTAATATAGAAATGATGAGGGTACATCTAATGAATTACCTGATATTAGAAACATCTATTGTACTCTTGATATCATTCAGTGAATCTGTAAGTGATTTGAATTCGAAGGAATTCAGGTCTCCTCCTTCTGCTAGACACTAAAGGGAAAAAACATTCAAAATTTGAGGGGAAGGATAAAAAATTTTTTAAAATTCAGTTACAGTTCAATTACAGACAAGAAAATACCTGATATAATCTATGTGCCACAATTTTTAGCAATAAATAGCATAGTTCATTTAGGTGTCAAAATTAAGAAAACATTTCCAAAATTTACCTTAATTTGTAATAAAATCGCTGTAAGCCTGGAAATAAGGTCCGTCAGATTTTTATTTTCAACACAGGGCTGTCCTGTTGAGGAATTTGCATGCCGAACGATTTCCTGCGCCTCCTCCTCACACCTTCGTCTCATGTCTGTAGGCTGATCTGCAGGCTGGAGCCCCTGGTCTGGAGCAAGCTGAATGCAAGGATTGAAACGTAAGATATACATTCACAAGGCCACACCATTTGTGTGTGTGTGCCGGTTTTAGATTTGGGTTTTTACAAAACTAGCATTTATAACAAAAATGATGTGCCCTCTTACCTTAGAAGTCTTTTTCTCCTATAACAGTTTTCTAAAGAAAATAGGACAAAAACTCTAGATAACCTTTTACCCAGATTCACTAACTGTTTACGGCTTATTTCACTTAACATTTGATCTCTTTGTTGGTATATATGAATTCTTTTCCCTTACACTCGTTATTCTTAAACACTCATATTTCCTAAGTACAAGGATATTCTCTTACATAAGAATAGTGCAATTATCACACTTGGGAAATTTAACATTGATATAATACTATTTTCTAACAGTCCATATTCAAATTTCTCAACTGACTCAATGACTCTTCCAAATAGCTACTTCCCCCCCGAATACATTTGCCTGTCATGTCTCTTTAGATTCCTTTACTCTGGAACAGTTCCATAGTCACTCATGACCTTGATACACCAAGGCTGCCAAGGTTTCAGGTTTGCTCCCTGGTCAAGGCACATGCAGAAATCAACCAATGAATACATGAGTAGATGAAACAACAAATTAATGCCTCTGTCTCTCTGTCTCCACACCCCACCCTTCTTCTTTCTCTCTAAATTCAATAAATAATTAAAAAAAAAAAAAGAGCAATTGTTTTTCTAAATTTTTTTGGAGAGCTCATCAGGTGTAATCCAAGCAAACAAACAAATAAAATCAACAGAATTGATAGCTCACTGGATATAAAGCACTGTTCGACACTGATACTGTAAGGAATAAAAATACATATGAAATATGGTTTTGTTAAAGGATTTTATAAAGATATTGGCTTAGTTTGGATTTTCTAAAATGTGAAGGTAACAGTATTAAGTGTCAAATGAAAGCGTAGAGGACACAGCCCCTCGAGGGAAACGCATGCGAACGACCCACCTCGTAGCAGTACTGTTGGACTTTATGCAGGACTTTGTTTAAGTCCTTGTTCAGCTGCTCCAGCTCCAGAACGATGGTTGCGTATCTCCGCTGAAACTCAATGCCGATGGGCATGGAATAGGACTTCTGAGGAGAAAGAATCAAATTTTGATATGAGGTTTTTGAGCAGTACAATTTCAATGATATAATGAGAGATCTGATTTATCCAATATAAACTAAAGCTTATTAGAACACTCAACACTCAATGCCATACTTTGTGTGTCATAAACAACATTATGTATTGTTATTTAGAAGACTGTCTTTTCTTGAGGATAAATAAGTGTATAATTTGGCAGACTCAGAACTAGTTAAACAAAATCAAAATAATTAAAGGTTCTGTATCATCCTGCACAGAGTTCATTAGAGGGTGTCAAAACCCTTGTCCTCAACTTTTGTGTTCAACAGTTTTATGAGTTGTTTAAAAAGACATACAAGGACTTTATATACATATATCAAAATGTACAAAGTTGGGAAATGGCTAATATGTCAGATACATTAAGTATCTAGATGGACAAAAATTAGATTAATGGTTACCTAGGTATGGGGTGGGGGGAAGTGTTTTGGGAGGAAATGAGGAGAGACTCCTAAAAGGTATGGGATTTCTTTGGGGTATAATGAAAATGTTCTAAAATTGATTGTGATGACTGCACAACTTGTGAATTGAACTGTAAACTAAAAACCACTGAACTGTCCACTTACTGCAAATAGGTGACTTAAATGGTATGTGAATGCTATCTCAATAAAGCTGTTACTTATAAAACCCTGCCCTTTTAAATATGTTACTATAATTTGGTTTTCTATCCATCCCTCCTATAATCAACTAGTGTGCCTTAGGCAGCCACATACAGGTTGAGTGTGACATGCAACATGGATTCTATTTTGAAGACCGGTTAACTGTTAAGCAGATTTCTGCAGAGATCCGTAATCCTCAAAATGAAAGAAGACAAAATGGTAAGGACAATTCTGACAATATATTCAGAGCAAGAAAACCAACTTTCACAGTGGTGAATATCTGAGAGGGAAGAAGCACAGAGCCTATAGTATTCAGTTTCCCAGAACTACTGACATGATTTTAAAAATGGGTAAGACAGAATTCCCAGGGATAAACTCCCTTTCCTACTCTAGAATTATATATTGCTAAGGCAATATATATTAATATATTAATAAATTCCACACACACGATTAATTTCTCTGTGAATGATCTATATGAGTATTCTTAAAATATTTGAATAATCTGAAATAGAAAAGGCATATTGAAATTAAAAATCTTAGACAAACTTTCACTGACTTTAATATGCTATATAATTTCACCAAGAAATGGTAGCTCAAACTTTAACTCTGAATGGACTTGATAAAAAAAACTTTTCAGGTATATGATTGAGAAATTTGTCCTTGTACTATAAAAGTGACTAAAGTATTTTAATATAATATAAAGCAATCCCCCCCCCTTCACTTTACAAAGAGAAAGTTTAAACATCTAAGTTCATATTTTGACTATGTGCTTTGGCTTTAGTTTGCTTTTGCTGGGTAAAGTATGATATAAACAATTGAGCTGTCCAAAATTCAAGATTTTACCAAACCAGCATTCCATTTTCTTTGTAAATTCCATATGAACCAACTTCTGACTTTGTTGATCATCTCTATTTGAGATTTGTTTTCAATTTTATTACTTTTCTCTTTGGGTTTAATTTGCTGTTCTTACTCTAATTTCTTGAGATGGATGCTTAACTTATTGATTTTTCAGTCTTTTTTCAATTCAAACATGTTCTTTTATTCTAAAATAGGCATGGCTGCATCCCAATGTTTTGATGAATATAATTTTCAATACCATTCAATTCAAAGCATTTTCTTAGTCTCCCACATAACTTATTCTTTGATCAATAGTTTATTTAGTACTGCATTTAAAATTTTTCAAGCAGGAGATCTTTCTTCTTGGTATCCTTTTGTTATTAACTTCTAAGTTTATTTGTACTGTGATCAGAGAATATTCTGGAGAAATCTAAATATCCTGAAATTTGTTGAAATCTGATTCAAGGACAGCATATAACTAATTTTTGTATATAGTCTATGTGGGTTTCAAAAGAATAGTATCCTGTAGTTGGTAGGTGTAATATTGTACACATGCTAATAAAATTAGTTCGTTGACTGTGTTTTTCAAATCTATATCCTTATTGATTTTCTGACTACTTGTTTTATTAGTTACTAAGAGAGCTATGGAAATTGTTCCACTATAATAGTGGATTTGTCTTTTTCCTTTGAGTTCTGCTGATTTTTGCTTTATATATCGGAAGGCTAAGTTATTAAGTACATATAAATTTCAAATTACTAATTTTGAAATTATACCTCTCATCATTAGGAAGCATGCCTCTTTCTGTCCTATAATATCTGTTGCTCTGAATTTTTACTGTCAGATATTAACATAGTTATAAGACCTTCTGTTATTTTAAAACTTTGCACTGTGTATCTTTTCATACATTTACGTTTTTATCCTTTGAATGTCCTTTTATATCATGTGTCTCTTGCATACATCAGAGAGTTGAATTTTATTTTGCATCCAGTTTGGAAATATTACTGATAGCAAATGAAAAAAAAATTTTTTTAAATATATCTTCATTGATTTCAGAGAGAGGAAAGGAGAGGGAGATAGAAACATCAATGATGAGAATCACTGATTGGCTGCAGCCCACAACCCGGGCATGTGCTCTGACCGAGAATCGAACACCGACTGCCTGGATCCTAGGTCGACGATGAACGGCTGAGCCACACCCGGTTGGGTGCAAATGAAAATTTAAAAATAACATTTATCTTGCTTCTCTCTCACATCGATGTTTCTCTCTCTCCCTCTCCCTCTCTAAAAAATCAATTTAAGCCTGGCCGGGCGTGACTCAGCGGTTAAGCGTTAACCTAGGATCCAGGCGATCGGGGTTTGATTCCCAGTCAGGGCACATGCCTGGGTTGCAGGCTGCAGCCAATCAATGACTCTCTCATCATTGATGTTTCTATCTCCCTCTCCTTTCCTCTCTCTGAAATCAATAAAGATATATTTAAAAAAAAAATCAATTTAAAAAATACTTTTTAAAACTAACATTTTTCTTCCATAAAATATTTAAAAATCCTTAAAGAAGCCCTACCATCTTAAAAGTAGACAAGCAAAGAAATAAAGCCTTACCAATTTTTCTGCGTCTGTGTTCATTTCCCTTAATTTCTTGATATGTTCCTTCTTGATCATGAGGATTTTTGATAATCTGGTCTATAGAGAAGGAAGAGATATTTTGAAACAAATAGAGGCATTTAAGTACATCAGTTAGACATCAAATTCCCAGTTTTTCACTAAGATATTTTAGCAGTAGATTTTAGTGTTTCAATATAAATATATCACAGGCTTTTTATTTTTTAAATCTAATTGGCCAATAGGAAAATATTATTTAAAATTCACTGCTACCAGGACATGTCAAAAAGACTAAGGAGTCCATCCGAACAAGCTTTCACTGGCCGAAACTGGGACAATTCATTGACCACTAATAATAATAACTGCAGTGGATTAACACAAATATGAACTCGTGGATTTTAGCACCAATATGTTAAAATCCATGACTGCATACTGATACTTAAAAAAAATTTAACCACTGTTAGGACTCTTTCAGCTAATAAAAGAAGGGACGATAGAATGAGAACAGCACCATTTTACCATCCTAATGAGTGAAGGATCTAGGCAGTGATAAACAGTGCCAGCTAACGTTATATTTAAAAAGAGATAAAATAGTATGAATCTCCTATCAGAACACATAACAAAGTTCTTAAAATCAATATAATGATTAAAAAAATTTAAATATTTGGTCATAGAAAAAACTTTCAACTTCAATAACACAAAAGACACTGACTTTTTTAACAAACAGTCAATATATTCAAAAATATTCTTACCACTTGAATAAGGAATTCTACTGGAAAACCACCTAATGTTTCAGTGTCAGAACCTGAAATCTTACTTCTCCAAGGTGACTGACCTAATAAAGGATCATTATCCTATGGAAATAAAAAGGAATCATTTAACCACTGACTGTTCAAACAGAAGTATCTTATATTTACATAAAGAGTAAATTCTATTACATTTAATATATTAAAAATCCTACAACAAGTATTTCCAGAGTTGAAGCAACTATTTACTTGTTTTATTTAAAATTTGACAACTCAAAATAATGTGGACACCTCCTGAGTTGCTGTAATGGATGTATATTTCATAAAAACATAGTTTACATTGATAGTAGTCATTTAAATTACTGATGACATTTCAAAATGGTACCGTAGCTGGTGCTGGGAGAAGGGGAGGATAGTGTAGCCGTGGTGGAGTCATAAAAAACCGAGAAGGCCGCTGTTTTTGTCCAAAGGCAGCAATTGGCATCGTCTCATGAGGCTCGTTACTCTGTGGGAAAAGAGAAAGGTCCACAAGATTTGTAGAACTTTGCCAGTCATTTTAGTCTTATAAAACATTATATCTCTGCATGATATGCACTAGCTCATATGCTATGATTTTTAAGAGAATATATTATCCTACGAAGATCAAAGGCCTAGAACTTAAGTCAGAGTATGAAAATACCACCAAAAGACTGAACCCACAAAACAGAATTAAGAAAAAGACCAAAAGATCAAAACAAAGGATCAAAGATGTTGTCTCTGTGTTAAAGACTATCTGAACGTTGCCTACTGTAATGAAAGTCAACTCTCTGGCCACAGAGGAATCTTTAGGTGCTCTCATAAGAGAAATTACATTGATGAAACAGAAAGCAACTGTCCTTTTTTGAAAAGGGAGGTTGAACGATCTCAACCTTTAATGAAAAAACTTATGGTTGGTGTACTTGCTCTATATTTAATCCAAATTTTATTTCTCTTATTTGTCCTCTCTAAAAATTTGTTTAAAAAGGAAACCCTCACAATAAACAGAGTCGTAGTTTTTAAAACGTATGTATCAAAAAAGGAAGATTCTTTATTTTTGCACTAAGGAGATAAAGAAGTTTTGATTTTTAATTGCAAGTTCATGAAACTTAAAAATCAAGTATAAACAAAGAAATGAAAAAAGGGACACTAAAGGTGAATAATTTAATTTCATAATGCTTAGAGGCAAACAATTTTGCTATAAAAAGTGTATTATTGTCTTGGCGGGGTAGCTCAGTTGGTTAGAGCATCATCCCAATACACCTAGGTTGCAGGTTCAATCTCTGGTGTGGGCACATACAAGAAGCAACCAATGAATGCATAAATAACTAGAACAACAAATAGTTTTTCTCTCTTTCAAATCAATCAATAACATTTTTTTTAAAAGTTCANAATAAATAAGTGGAACAACAAATAGTTTTTCTCTCTTTCAAATCAATCAATAACATTTTTTTTAAAAGTTCATTATTCACTTTTTAAAAGCTTTGTTTGATTGCAGAGATTAGTTCTTAAAATTATTTTAACTTATTAGAAAGGTGTATAATTTTCATGACATTGCTAAATCTAGCATGATTGTGAAATAATGGCCCCATAGTTTAACAGACTGTATCAAAAATTCAAAGGCTCTGAATTCTAGTCTCAGTCCGTCAGGAAACCAGCTCTAGAGCCTTGACTAAATTACTTACAGTAATTTGTAATTACTATGTCTCAGTTTAATCACGCAAAAAGTGGGGGTAATTAACACCTACCTTATATAACTCTGAGGATAAAACAGGAGAACAAATTTTAAAGTGCAAGATGTTACTTCCTACTTTAAACATCATTTTGCAAGAAGACTGTACTTTAACAAAACAGCTGGAATGAAAGTGCTGCGCAGCTTATTCCCCAAGATGATCTCGTCAGAAGCGATCGGTTTTGTCACACTAAAGTGCTATGTGGTTAAGGTACAACAGAGAAATGACAGATTCTCAAAAATGTGGAAGACTGAAGTATAGTTCTGCTTCAGGGGTCCAGTAGGCAGGACTTGTACCCCTAAGGATCTCTTCCTCAGTAGAACTGAAATCTTGATTCTATCATACAGCACAATCTCTGAGAAAATTCTACATAATATGTTTAATAGGCATAATGTACAAACATGTTATGAAATACTTACAAGAACTTCATAGTCAGGGATAGTATGGGTTCCAAGCCCTGCCCTATCAAAAGTTACTCTGTAAGTAGCGTTAAGAGTGTCCACAGCATCTATTTGTCCAGTGAACAGACCGTCATGAACACCACGTAATCGTGCTGAGAAAAGAACCAAAAAGGAATTATGTTTGGAAGATACAAAGAACTGTCAAATATAAAACTGCTCAAAGCATGTAAAACATAGGAAGCATAGTATTGTTGTCTATTACAGATTCAAAAATTACACACTTTATTTTCAGGTTAGAGAAACAAAAAAATTTTTTGAAACAAAAAACAAAACTATGAATGTCAATCCCTACTTTGATATATGGATGAAATCACAAATCTACCAACCTAAAAACAAAATATTTTAAAATCATGGCTTTAAACTCTGAATTGCAAAACAATAAATAAATAACAAAAGGACTTTAGTCATTATGCTAATGGGGGGAGGAGAGAGACAGGGGTGCTGTGAAGAATGAGTACAGGAGGCCTGAGACTGCTACCCTTAGAAGGGCCCGCCCGGGCTGGCATCTGGGAACTTGAATTTCAAAAGTGTTCCCATACTGATAAAGGTGGTTTTCTGTGCCTAGAATGTTTGTGAAAACAATGAGATTTATGCTGTACACCTGCTTTCCTTTAGGAGTCTGAAATTCCAGTATGTGCTTTGCAAGGGTACCTATGTGACCTGTCCCCAATAAAAACCTTGGGGACTGAATCTCTAACAAGTTATTTTGGTAGACACCTCAAGTGTTGTTATAACTTGCTGTTGGAGGTATTAGGGAAGTCATGTGTGACACTACAGGAAGGAGATTCTTGGAAGCTTGCACTAGGTTCCTCTGGACTTCTGCCCTATGCACCTTTTTCTTTTACTAACTGTATCCTTGTCTGTAATAAGCCAAGGCCATGAGTGCTGAGCACTCTGGATCTTTCTAGTGAATCACCAAACTCGGGGGTAGTCACACAGATGAACTTCTGTATCACTATTATTGAAATCCAGTCTGAAATAACATCAGGAAAATCCAAGCAAGGACCAGCAAGAGTGAAAAAACATAAGAATAGCATTTAAGGCATTAAATTAGGCAAAGTGACACATTTTATATGGACAAAAAAAGTACAATACAATATCATTTTAATTAACACAAATATTCAATGTAAAACTGCTTAAAAGAATCAACTGATTTAAAAAAACAATTGTAGACACCTAAAATATTCTCAGTCTTTGACAGATCAATGAAGGGAAAAGTAAACAGGTTATACAGAAGATATAAGTAATAAATAAATAAAGTTGAATAAACGAGCATAAACATAGAAAAGGACTTCCAGTTACAACAGCATGAAGAGGTTGGTGATTTTTCTCTGAAGGGACAAGTTTACACCTGCACGCAGTCGTCTGTGACAACCATCAGGGCCGTGTAAATGGATCAAACGCAGACAACAATTACGAAATGTTCAGTGTTAAAAGACGGCTGGAGCTTCAGTAAGGTCAGGGAAGCAATGGCCTTTTTGCACGAGGCTGTTCACGCCCCACATTACCTCCAACTTGGTTGGTGAAAATGGTTTTACTAGTGTAATGGCTGGTCAGGAAAACCAGCAGTGTTGTTGCCATACGGAGTAGACGGGATGTGGACCAGTGGGTAAAAATGTGTGACTTTGCCAGTTAAAAGTGGTGAACTAAATCAGGAAAGAATAAGAAAAACCCGCAGCTTTTGTAAGCCCATGGGGTAGTCCTGGCTGAGATGAGCAGCAGAACAGCCAGAAATTTAACAGGGTGATCCTGGAAACTAGAGAGCCATAAAAGGGCTGAAGTAAGGTCTCCATAAATGCTGGGCTAACTGGAAAACTACATGGATGGGTGGGGGACACCTAAGAGAGTCTGGTAAAAAGTCCCTGATTAATCCATTTCTCAAGCCCTTTCAGTACAATTACCCAGTCACTTAACACCTTGCTATTTTTTGTACTACATAAGTTGCGATTTTAGTTTACCAAGTTCTTAAAGATTAATTTAAACTTGGTTTTGGTGGTACTTTCCCTCCATGTTATAGCTGAAGTGGATATATAGAATCACATCTATAAATTGACAAAATTTATACCCTTAGAAAATTGTGACCAAACTACCTAATGCATAATTTAGTTTTATTGAGTCATTAGAAATGGACTATTTCTAGACCTAAGGATCATAAGAAATATGGTGTTTGTGGACGACACAGAAAAGACTGCTTAAAAAAGGAACAAAATAGAATAATTTAAAATTTTGAAATTTAAACAATCCACAGATGAACAGTAATCTCTACAGTATACTGCTACAGAACTATAGTTTGAGCTTTCTAAATTTAAAAGCCATTTTTCTCATAGAGGTTATTTTAGAGAAAAATTACAAGTCAAAATATTAATTAGCTTATCTTTACTAACCTGTAACTTTGGTTCCAATAACCAGGGGCAAAGGAATCTCATCTGGGAGATCTTTGAATTGTGAAAGATCCGCAACTTTCCTTTGTTGTAAGAGCCGGATTTTCTGCCGTTTCTGTTTTAATGCTGATCTCTCTTCCTCAAAAAATGCAGAAGAACATCTAGGATAAATTATAAAAATAATATAAAATGAGAACTATCCTATACAAAAGTGTCAAATCAGACCATCCATCTCAGTGTTCTTTCTTCCTCACACTCTTGAGTACTGTATTTAAAAACGGGTTCATAGAAATATTCATTTCCTTCCAAAGTAAATTACATCTTTTTAAAACCAGGGCCTTGCAAGACTCAAAGATATATAAGCAAGTCTTGGTTATTCCTTCCTACAAAGCAGGAGGATCTGTTCACATCCTTTGATAAAACTGTAGCTGGATCCCAGGTCTTCTCTTAAGGACAAAGTCCAATTTTAATATTCTATTCAGGAGAACATGACATTTTCCTGCACATGGATGTTTATAGCAGCTTTATTCCTAATTATCAAAACTTGGAAGCAACTGAGATGCCGTTCAGGAGGTGAATGGTATATCCAGATAACAAAATATTATTCACTGCCAAAAAGAATGTGCTATCAAGCCATGAAAAGACATGGAATAAACTTAAATACATATTACTAAGTGAAAGAAACCAATCTGAAGCAAGATCATCTTTAAATACAAAGGATAAAACAAAATATTACCAGTTCAATTAAAATTTATCCTGTATTTCATCACTATCTCCAGAAATTATTAAAATTAATTTCCATTTCTACTTGGACATGTAACTTTATTATTTCTAGGCCTTCCTTGAATTTTCCCACCATTTAAAATAAAAAATCTTGCCCAGCCAGGCGTGGCTCAGTGGTTGAGCATCGGCCTGGGATCCAGGAGATCGTGGTTCGATTCCCGGTCAGGGCACATGCCCGGGTTGCAGGCTCAGGGGGCGGCCGATCAATGACTCTCTCATCATTGATGTTTCTATCTCTCTCTCCCTCTCCTTTCCTCACTTTGAAATCAATAAAGATATATTTAAAAAAATAAATAAATAAAAATAAATAAATAAAATAAAAAATCTTGCACATGCTTTTTACTAAGGCAGGTAGACATAATATGAGAACCAATGATCTAATCCTAATATATTTCAAGAGTCCATTCAAAAGCAATATAAAGTTTTAAGATGTGTTAGAAAGCAAGTTAACACTGGAAAAGGAAAAGTCGTTTCTAGGAAAGTAACTATTAGATAAATTCATTTAATTTGTTTTTATATAAAGTAAAATAAGGCTCTTAAAGTAATAAAAAGAGTTTCACAGAAGATTAAGTAACAATGTATATATAACTGTATAGCTCATTAAATACTTTTTAGTGCATTCTTAAATATTTTTGGAACACAGTGGGTATAGATAATTATCTATAACAAAATTATATTCAAAACCTATGATATAAACAAAACTGGAATTGCACATTTAGTTATAAGATGTGTAAGTACAAAAAGCCCTTACTTTAAGTTGGTTAATAGAATATATTTAACATATAATTATTTTGAAAACTTATGTTTTAGTACTAGTCCTCTTGAAGATTAAAACAAAATCAATGTAGTAATGATACTACTGACTTATTGATTTTATTTTAAACAAAAACTTTATTACCTCCGTGGTTTTCCCATAAGCCGCCTGATTTTTCCCCATTCTACTCTTGTTAATTTTCTTGTTTTCAAATTAGGAAAAGATTCCTTTAGACATACACAGAAATCATTATCACCTTCAAACAGTGGTCTATAAAATAGAAATGATATTTTAATAGTTAATATACAATATGTTACTTAAGAGACATAAAATTAAAAATATGCATTTCAATTTTCAACATCAAACCAATCACAAAATTCCAAACTTTCACTTCTACCCAAATCATATACACAACAGGTACACATTCAAAGTGTTAAAACGAAATTAAATCCTTGGCATTTGTGAAAAAAATGTGTAAAAGTTACTCAGGAAATACTGTCTGTGCTTGAGATGTCCAGGAGACCCGGATTTTTGTTAAATATCCTACAGGAGTATATCCTTTGGGGGGCTATCCTGGCCCTGGCTTTGTAGCTACAAAGTATCTGCCCCAAAGGTAAAACCATCACCAAGGAATCCTCTTTGAGATTAAATCAATTTTAGAAAACTGGAGCTCTCCAGAGAGTTAGGTTGGAATTCAAGAACTCATCACACTAGGACACCCTCAGAGCTTGCTCAAATAAATACCTATGGAAAATCTGTGGACAAAAATAAAACAATTCTATTCAAGAGTTTGGGCAACCAGGAACCAGCAATGATACAGAAAGGTTTTGGGCTTAAATATGAACACTCATGAGATTCACAAGATTCAGAGCAGGCCGTTGGTGTGGAAAGCAGAGAAGGGAAGTAAAGGTAAGTGGCCAGTAGAGCAACCACCAGAGCATGCGTTAGATTAAGATGGATGAGAAATCAGAATTTTTCCTCAGCAAATTCTGTTGTTGGATAGATTTCACCCAAATCTCTTAATGTTTTATTTAAACATTTATGTGTAACTAAAGTACGTAAGTACTACCACATGAGAGACTATCTTCCTAAAATCTTACTGAATCAACTATTTCTCTACTACTATACTAGCACTTAAAAATCTGAAGATGTGTGAAACAAGTCCCATTCATTGCAAACAACGGTGCTTTGTTTCCTAGTCTTTGTAAATTACAACACAGAAATTATACTTTCATTTTATTTTTCACTAAAAAGTGTAACATCTTCTTCCTCAAAAGAGGAAAAGGTGAGGAAAACTGTAAGAAATGGAAACGGATCAAACCCGAATGAAGAACAGGAGTAGTTTAGGACAAAGTAGGACCAAAATGGGCCACAGAAAAGATTGTAGCTTGTAATGTTTGAAAAACTTAAATTTTCAGCTCAAGTAACAGTCATGATATAACCGATGATACATACTTATCTATATTTGAGTAGAACCACTCATATATGCACCATTTATGTGCTTTGGGAAGCTTCAGTAGGTTACGTAATCGAAAACCAATCTTCTGTGAGGCTTTCTTATCTGGTGTTGACATTGTTGCTGTAAATTTCTATACAATAAAAAAGTAGAGATTAATTATAGTTCCACTAAGTAAAAATGAGCATCTATAACATTGAATACCTTTGTAAAAAGGTAGATTGTGGTTAAGTACTCAAAAAAAATTAAACAGGCCAGTGTGGCTCAGTGGACTGAGCATCGCCCCCTGCACCAAGAGGTCACCGGTTCAATTCTGGGTCAGGACACACACCCAGGTTTCAGGCTCGATCCCCAGCAGGAGGCAGCTGATCAATGTTTCTATTTCTCTCCCTCCCTCTCCCTTCCTCTCTCTCTAAAAAATCAATAAAAACATTAAAAAAAATCAATATTCAACATGAAATTTTGGTTATTACTTAATAAACATTCTAATTAATTTTAACAGAGTTAATTAAAGCCTCCAGTTTCATAACATATTCTGACAAGGAAGGTGAAATATTTGCACTGTAGTACAGCTTAAATTAAGGTGTGCAGGAAAAAGATACTTGTGAGAAATATTCCTGGAGTTCTTGGGCCAGAAAAGACCAGTAAGAACTCTGCTACTCTTGAGAGAGTGAGAGAAAAAACATGCAAGCAAGCACTAGGCCTAGATGGTTTCCAACAAATTTTTATATCAAACCAGAGCTCCAATGCTATTGTTTTAAATCACTGATGAAGAGAGACAAAAGTTTCAAACTATTTTTATAAAGACAACATAACATAGATAATAAAATCTGCCCAAATATAATAAAAAAAATCTCAGCAAATAGTACTCATTTCTGTGAATTTTAAAAATGCTTGGAAAAGATATTCAGTGTTCATGGACTGCAAAAATTAACACAGGGTGGGAAAGAAGTAGGTTTACAGTCATTCATATAGCAAATAATAATTAACAGATAATACAATACACTGTGTTTCCCATACTTACAACTGTAAATCTACTTTTGTTCTACCTTGTATTGTTAAAATGTCCATATTACCCAAAACTATTTAGATTCAATATAATCCCTATTAAAATTCCAATGGCACTTTTCACAGAAATGGAACCAGCAATCCTAAAATTTGCATGGAACTGCAAAGACTCCAAATCTCCAAAGCAATCCTGCTCGTGTAGGAGGCAACCAACTGACGAGTCTCTCTCTCACTGATGTTTCTCTCTCTTTCCCTCCCTCTCCCCCTTCTACTCTATCTAAAATCAATGGGAAAATATCCTCAGGTGAGGATGAACAATAAACAAACAAACAAAAATGACAGGGAAATAGGGAATAACTAAGTCAAAAATCATGAATTTGATAGAAAAATTACACTGTTCTTGAAGTTCACATTTCCTTACCCAGTTTTCATTCACTGCTTTGATTCTTACATGTCCACTATAACTTTTTTTTAATAGATGTCAAAAATGAAAAAAGAGTTATGATTTTATGCCGTATATTTTCCTCTTTTGGATAAAGGAAGTCTTCAACATGCTTCCCTCAGTGGTAAAGTAAAATCCCCTCTCATCTCCATGCCAAACCCCAAACTGATTCCATACTGCCATATCCATTTGCTTAATGTCCACTATCTATAACCGTGCTTACAAGAAAGTGTGTATTTGTAAGACTGAGGATTGGCTTTCTACTCTGGTTTCAAGTCCATCAATAAAACAATGACCTTTTCTAGGTAACTAAAATAGGAACTGAGCAGGAGCACTGATTTAAAGAAAAGAACTTGTGCCCTAGCTGGTCTGCTCAGTGGTTAGAGCGTCATCCCACAGGCCAAAAGATCCTGGGTTTGATTCCGGCCAAAGGCACGTATCTCGGTTGCAGGCTTGTTCCCTGACCCTGGTCGGGATGCATGCAGGAGGCAGTCCATTGATATTTCTCTCTCTACCCCCTACCTCCCCTTCCACTCTCCCTGAAAAGCAATGGAAAAAATATCCTCAGGTGAGGATTTAAAAAAAAAAAATTAAAGAACTTGTTACTCAAAATGTAACAGAATAAATATAAAGTTATTACCCTGAGCAATTGCTCACTTTCCACCACGTGAAACAACACTTTAGCACACACATACCTGTGGAACCATTGCAACCCTCTGGTTTCTTTTAGGTGATCTTGTATTTATTTGTCTGTCATCTTCATCAGAAAAGAGTCGACTTCGTTTTGAATTTCTGAAAGGCTATGATATAAATTTTTTTATTTTATGAAAAGACTAAACGCTTCCATTTTTGTTCCAATATAATTCTATATTGGAAAATACAGCTAACTGAATTATCAGTGAGTAGTACAGAAGGATGAAGTATGGGTAATACAAAGTACACAAAATCAAATACAAATGATCTTAGATTTAGAAAGCAGTAAGATACATATTTATGCAATTTGTTTACAAATAAACCACCTAGCTAATGATTAAAACTAGAATCCAGCCCGGCCAGGCATGGCTCAGCCGTTGAGCGTCGACCTAGGATCCAGGCGATCGGGGTTCGATTCCCGGTCAGGGCACATGCCAGGGTTGTGGGCTGCAGCCGATCAATGACTCTCTCATCACTGATGTTTCTATCTCTCTCTCTCCCTCTCCTTTCCTCTCTCTGAAATCAATAAAGAGATATTTAAAAAAAACAACAACAGAAAACTAGGATCCAAATCTCCTTAGTACACTGGCAGCCTGGAATGAAGATAGGAAAATAAATTCTGGGAACACCAGTTCTTATTATGCTGCTGTTTAGATTAACACCAGTTGGGTATATCACAAGATATGTCTGTTGCATAGGGCTGGGCTGGGGCAAAGTTACTAGATCATTCTAGAGGGCAAATCTAAATGTGTATAATGTTATACCAGATCTTCTGTCAAAAATTAACAGAATTTCCATTTGTTAATAAAAATACAAGATACCTATAACAGATACCTGCTAAATGCCTGTAGAACTAAAAAAAATTTTAAGTGCCTGAAGTACATCATATTACTTAAAAGCCTATAATATAAAAAATTTTACAGTCCATTCTAGGTTCAGAGGCCTCATTAATAAAGAAGCATGATAGAAGTAACATTCCAATAGTACCTGCGTTCTTTTTGAAATCCTTCTTCCACTATTTAAGATAGAGTTTCCTGCCTAGTCAGAAGGAAGGCAGGTACAAGGGCTAGCAACATATGGGCAGCATCCAATTGGGTCAATGCTAGAGGTATGGATCCTTGAAATTAAACCCACGGAAAGCCTCAACACTCCACAGCCCTGACGGGAAGTCCCTTCTCCCTCTCTCCCCCCTTCCCTGAGAGAAGGAAGGGAATGATGGTGGTAGAACTGACAGAGTGTAGAAAGTCCAGCACATTCACTGTGGCCAGCTGCCCAAGTTACTGTGACCACTGCTGTCTATCTCAGCTCCAGGATTGTTTCATGATTGATCCCTAAAGCCTCCTGACTACCTAACTGGGCAGGGAAGTAGCAGAGGGCTCCCAAACCATTAGTCATGCCAACTATACACCCATCTCTACTTCCCACCCCTAAATGCAATTACCCGTGACCTACACAAGATTTTAATATCTTACCACTTATGTATATATCTTTTTGTAGAGCCATGAAAATTTTTACTAGCTAATAAAAGTATGATTTTGGGTTGTTGGGAATTTTTCTGGTTTTGCCTACTTAAAAAAAACACTACAATTACTTAACAAATACTAATGATGAACAAATTATCACAGGCTACAGATTGTTTATCTATATATGAAAATATACTGCTCAATGACACTTAAGAGACTCAAATGCTTGCCCTGGCGGGGTAGCTCAGTTGGTTAAGAGTTCTTCCCGATATGTCAAGATTTCAGGTTTGGCCCAGCCAGGTGTGGCTCAGCGGTTGAGCGTCAAACTAGGATCCAGGAGATCAAGGTTCGATTCCCAGTCAGGGCACATGCCTGGGTTGTGGGCTCAATCCTCGGTTGGGGGCGTTCAGAAGGCAGCCGGTCAATGACTCCCTCATTATTGATGTTTCTATCTCTCTCTCTTACCCTCTCCCTTCCTCTCCCTGAAATCAATAAAGATATATTTAAAAAAAAAAAAAGATTTCAGGTTCGATCTCCGGTCAGGGCACAAACAAGCAGCAACCAATGAATGCATAAATAAGTGGAACAACAAATCAATGTTCTTTTCTCTCTCTCTAAACTCAATCAATTAAAAAAAAGACTCAAATGACTGAAGTTGGGGAAAAACTTTGGAAAATTTTTATTGTGCTATAAGAACTTGCACATGACAATAATACAGACAATTTAGCTATCATGTTCTAAAGTGTGAGAAAACTAATTCCTTACCATTTCCACAGCAGAGCCTGTATTCCTGCCTTTCCAAACAGGTGTTTTTTGTAAAGAACTGAACTTTTCATTCCATGTGTTAGATAAGCTTCCCTCTGTAATAAATAATTATTACTAATAAGATTTAAGTTTAGTTCAAAGGATTTCATACTATGAACATTGCCTTTTTAATAACAGCAATATATCTGAAATATTTAGCAATATGAAAAAAATACAGATTGTAATAATTTTAGTCTATTACAAATAAAATTCTCTTCTGTGTTTTTTTTTTTTGGTCCAACTCTAAATAACTTGGCAAGGCAATGCATCATGAAAATATTAAATATTAAAATGTGTGGCTTCTTTCTTCTTGGTTTTTAATAATTCCTCTATTCTAACTTTCCAAGAACTATCTCATAAATGCAATCTAACTGAAAGCAGGGCAATGAAAAAAGCTTCTTCTAACCTTGAATTTAGAGCATATTTCTAACTGTTTTCTGCCTCAATATATGAAACCCTTGATATCCAAAAATGAAATGTGTGGCGTTTCTGTTTTCCTTAATTCGAAGAAATGTCTTGAATTGTATGCAACCAGAAGAGATTCAATCAACTGACTGATTAGTAATATTATGAAAAGAAGGATGAGTTTAATTTTTATAAAAAGAATATGTTTATACAGAGAGAGATAGAGAAACCTGGGATGAATGTACCAAACACAGTTAGTTTCATTTCCTTCTAGTTGCTCGCCAGCATTTTTTCTAATTTTTTCTATATGAAATTTATTTCACTTGTATATATATATCTTTTAAATGATTTTAATACTGAGGAAAAATAATGAAATGCTTTTTCAGATGTATATTTTAATAATTGCAAAAAAAGAGGTGGGGTGGGGTTGATCTTGGTAGGCAAATAAATTAGGGAAACTCTGGAAGATAAGTCTGAGGGATTTAATTTGATAAATTACCAATTCAAAGCACAACACAGTAGTTTTAAAAACTAGAAGTACTAAAAACTTTAAAATATCTATCTTGGTTTCAAATGTACTTACCCAGTAGAATCTTGCTCAAGAGGTAAAATTTCAAAATGAACTATATTAAGAGGGTTGGTCTAATGTACTACTTACAGAAAGAGTAAGACCAAGAAACATTATTTTTTTTCTCAGAAAATTACTATTGTACTTTTAAGAGACTTGCATTATTACTTAGAAGGCAAGATTTTTAAAAAATAAACTATTATGCAAAAGTACAGCTTAGCACAATTGTTTAATAAATTTTTTAAAAATAAATGTTTTAAATCTAGTAAGGAAGTTCTTTAATCAATCAATAATTCTAGGGGAAAAAATTCTTAGTAATTTCTAACAACCTAGGACCAACTCTCATTAACAGTATATTAATTTAAATTTACCACCAGTGAAAACCAGTCCTTAAAAGCTATAATGAATCATAACTTAGAAAGAAAAGAGAAACAGTATATTCAAATTAGCTTAATGGATTAAATTTCTAGCTCATGCCATGCCTAAAGAATCATGCTGGGATCCTTACCTTTTAAACTGACAAGGGCTTTTGCTGAAGAGCCTGCAATTGAAACAAGTCAGTATTATTTCATGATCAGAGTAAGAGAAAAAGAACTTGGTTTGGGGGTAACAGTGATCCCCTTAGTTTTAGCAAATCATGTTGAGCTTGAAGTGGGATGTGCAATTAGAAGTAACTAGCAGACAATTCAGGCTATGGACCAGAGCTCACAAGGTGAGGAGGAACTGGAGAGAGGCACTTGGGAGTCTTACTAACTTGTGAGACGCAGAGACCTTTCCTAGGGAGAGAAACGTGGAAAGAGGAAGANATGGTGGGATGTGCAATTAGAAGTAACTAGCAGACAATTCAGGCTATGGACCAGAGCTCACAAGGTGAGGAGGAACTGGAGAGAGGCACTTGGGAGTCTTACTAACTTGTGAGACGCAGAGACCTTTCCTAGGGAGAGAAACGTGGAAAGAGGAAGACTAGGACAGATGCGATTTTGGATCTTCGTCCAGAGTGTGCTGTTGTTGGAGAAGGAAAGAGAAAGGGAACCGATATTTACGAAGGCAAAGACCAGAAGTGGCAATGGACTGGAGAAAGCAGAAGCGTCCCGGCACCGTCACAGCAGGCAGCGAGTCCCCTGGACGTCTAGAACGCAGGCGTGTGCAACACTTAAAGATCCAAGCTGCAAAAGGAGTTCAGAAAGGGCAAGAGGGACCAGCATGAAGTTGGATGGGCTCACTGACTAAAACAAACTTGAGTGTATATTAGAATAACCAGGAAGCTCCCCAAACACAAAGACTCTGTACGATGACAAAGGTCCTCAGGGATTCTGTGGCAGGTAACCCTGAGGCTCACTCAGAAACACCAAGCTTCTGTGTGAATACAGGACGGGGTCTATGGGTGGGGGGAGTAGGAGAATCGATAGGAGTTTTTATAAAAAAGGGAGAGCACTAAACTGAAATCTCTGAATTGGATATATGAGTTGCAAAGAAGTCCAAGACATAGGAAAAGTAATAAAAGATGATCTCTGTCACTTACAGGTAGCATCTAAAAAACAAACAAACAAACAAACTCAGCCAGGTACAAAGAAGAGACTGGTGGCTGCCAGGGTGGGGGAAACGGGTGACAAGGTTCACACTTTTAGTTGTAAGACAAATGGATCCTGGGGATGGAATGTTCTGCACAGTGACTATAGTTAACAATACTGTATTATGTACCTAAAAGTGGCTGAAACACATCTTAGAAGTTCTCATCACAAGAAAAAAATTGTAACACTGTGTAGTAATGGGTGTTTGTTAGACTTTTTGTGGTAAAAACTTTTGCTATATATACGTACACCAAATCTTTATGTTGTACACCTAAAACAATACAATGTTATACAAGTTAATTATATCTCAATTTTAAAAATAAATTAAAAGGAAAAAAAACCACACCCTTTCGATGCTCCAAAACAGGAACTGTTTAAAATACTTTTTTTCTTTTACTATAGTCAAATTATTTATCATTCTTTGTTTTCAATTTTGTTTTATTTTATAATCATACTTTCTCATCTCAGTAACTGTGACATCCATTTATGTTTGTAAGACTATAATCTAAACTCAGGCAGTAGTGAAGTTATTTGAAATGTGGTCAGTTACTTGCATTGAAAAAAGACAATTTTTTAAATAGCATGTTAAAATGTGTGCAAACATCTTTAAGGAGCCACTACGCCATATAAAAATCAATAAATAAAAGATGATCTCAGGGGATAAAGAATGAACATGGACTTAGTACAAAAATCAGTGAAGAAAGATTCTCCTTGGTGTTTAACACAAGCAGCAATGGGTTATGACTCATATAAATGGACAACAAATTTTAAATGAGAAGCAACAGATAAAGGATTGTAGTTCTGGCTATGAAATATTTTTATGTATCTCAGATCCTTAAACCTCAATTGACTTTTCTTCTACAGGGCAGAATGAGAGGCTTAAAGAACAGATATCCATCTACATCAAACCCACTGTTGCTTTTACTCTACCGTCTTGCCTAGATGTGGGGAATGGTTAACAGGACAACTTAAGAGCTTCTGTATGGCAAACTGAAGTTTAATGACCGAAGGCAATAAAGTTTTGAGGGAAGAAGTTGGGGAGAAATGCTGTAAAGTCTTGCTAAAAAACCTCAAACAACACAACTGGGAAGCAGCAGTAGTGGGCAGGATACATATCCATGTAGCGTAGCTACCATGAGAGATATGGTTCGTTGAGAAAAAGGAATAATCATGCACTCATTTGGTGAGTGTGTACAGACTGCTGACTGCATCCATCCCTGCTATAGGCACATGGGAGAAACGCCGAAGTCCCAGCTCTCATGGAATTCCCATTCTAGTGAGGAGAGACAAACAAACAAATGCTACATGAAAAAAATAATGCAGGAAAATAAGAACAGGGAATGTGGAGGGGCTGGGGGAGAGAAGACTACTTTTCTATAAAGTGCTTATGATTAGCTTCTCTGAAAGGTGATATTTGAGCAGAGATCTGAAGAAGAGGCGTGAGCAGCATGGATATCCATTTCTGCTCCATGAAGGCAGGAACTATATCTTAAGGAATCTGACCTACCACTTTTAACCTTTTATCTTTTTTGACAGCATTGCACAGTGGTTGAGAGCAGATTGAAACTAACTGTATTTGAATCTTGGCTCTCCCACATTCTTGCTGTGTTACCTTAAGCAAATTACGATACCTTTCTGTGCTGCTGATTCATCATTTGTAAAATGGAGATTAAATGAGTTAATACATATAAAAGTGCTTAGAGAACAAGGCACATAGTACATGGCTGATTTTTATATCATGCTGTTAGTATTACTTTGATCAAACAACAATAACAACAACAACTATTAGGTTAAGAACATGAATTTTACAGAAGTTAAGTTAGAATCCTGCTCTAACAGGGTATGTTCATTCATTCATTCATTCATTCATTCATTCATTCATTCAATAAATATTCACTGAGTGCCTGACACAGCATTATTCTAAGGGCTGGGTTACCAGAAGGAAAAGATAAACAAAGCGTCTGCTCTCAGGAAACTTACACAGTGGGAGGAGACACACAATAAACAAGCACAAAAAATGATAACTACACTCCTGGCAGTTGTTATAACCGAAATGAACAAGGTGATCTCAGTGTGGGGAGTTACTTTATACAGGGTAGTCAGGGAAGGCTCCTCTGAGGAGGGATCATCTGAAAGGGACCAACCATGAGAGAGCAGGAAATCAAATCTGGGTAGAACAGCAGGTAAAAAAGCCCTGAGGTAGAAAGTATTTGAGGTATTTAAGGAAGGAAGGGAGGCCACCAAGCTTGGGTAGTAGCTAGCAAGGGACAAATGGTACAAAAAAAGTCAAAGAAGTAAGCCAGGTGTTATGCATGGGACTGGAATGCAAGCATGAAGAAAAACAGTAATGTATCTTCTCTAGTGCAACGTCTAACCAAAGTTAACCAACCACAGTAACAAATGGAAAGCTGCAACTGTGACAGCTGCCACTGAGAAGTTACATAGGGGTAGGAAAAGATTTAATAAGAAGTAATCTTTGTCAGGGAGGACAGAAAATAGCTCTCTGAAGAGACTTAAAATGGGATCTAAAGGATAAGCACAAGTTAATCTGAAGTAAAGGGAAGGAAGAACATTACAAGTAGAGAGAAGAGCAGGTGCAAAGGCCCTGCAAAAAAAAAAAAAAAAGGAAGCCTGGTGAGTATAAGGAATGAAAAAAATCAAATTTAGCTCAAATGGACAGAATGAAAGGAACAGTGCTACAAAATAAAGCCAGAGAGGTGCGGAGTGGCCAGACCATGAAGGGTCTTATAGCTACTAAAGTGTTTTAAGCAGCAGGATGACATATACATATATATCTATATATATATATATGTAATTTTTGAAAGGATCACTCTAACTGTGCAGGTTGGGGTGGGATGGTGGGGTTGGGTGGTGGAATATGAGAGGCTGAAGTGATAGTGCAAGTAATAGATGCTGACAGCTTGGGCTAGGGTGTAGTGAGAAGTAGGTAAACTCTTTTTTTTTTTTTTGAAGGCAAAAGTTACAAGACTTAGTAAAGGCTTAAATATGGAAAGTAAAAAAGGGGGAAGTTCCAAATATAACCTCTAGGTTTCAGCTGAATGCATAGTGAAGCCATTCATTAAGACAGGAACCACTGGAAGTATCTCTGTCCTGGGATGGGGTTATGAGGTAGATCTTGAACCCGTGAAGTTTGAGGGGCCTCAGGCATCTAAGAGGAGATGTGAAACAGGCAAGAGATATCAAGAACAGGAGCTCAGAGGAAATATCTGGGCTGAAGATAGCCTCAGTTTCCTCATATATAAAATCAAACTAGTAAGAGTACTTACCTCAATTGAAATGAAGATTAAATGAGCAAATGCATATAATGTTTTGTACAGCAGCTGGTTTATACTACGTACTCAATAAATGGTAGCTTTTAACCTTGATAATGTTATACTGGCTATTGTCTAATTTATTAGCTAGTACCCTTGATTAAAACTGGCAAAGAAACATATCACTCTTTCCTGTATCCCTTTTCAAGACTCAGCTCCACTTTCATTAATAATGCCTCTTACCCTACATTCAATTCCATATAAATCAAGTATTTATGTATATCTGGTTTCCGGCACTGTGTGACAAACCAGGTATGGCAATCCCTGCTTTCAACAAGCTGTGGTCTAGCTAAACAAGATATACCACACATATGCATGCCCCACCCCAATGTACCAGAGATGTGACAAAGTAACATAAATGATGTTATATAGTATGATAGTGTAGCTGGAATTTGAACCCTACTATGAGTCCCAAGTCTCTACAAAGATACAAAGTAAGTCCTCAATAAACATTTAATGATGAACAAATATTCCAAATGACAGTTGAAAGAAAACCACTTAAAACACCTCATTTTAACAGAATGAGTACAGTAACCAAATAACAGCTCTTGTGGTTGTGACTTCTAAGATGTGATAAAAAATTTTACGATAAAGAGAGCAAGGATTTTCAGATGACAAGCATACTGTGCTTAGTGGGCCCACCCTTACTTGGGAGCATCCTAAATCACAACCCACTGTATTCCCCAAACAAGAAACAGTAAAATTCCCCCGGTGCTCTACAGTTGCACGCTGTCCAACACAGTAGCCACTAGCCACATGTGACTATTTAAATTCAAATGAACGAAAATTAAGTAAAATTGAAAAGTCAATTCCTCAGTCACTCTAGCCACATCTGAAGACTGCCACGGCCACATGTGCCTAGTGGCTACCCTATTGGACGGGGCAAGACATTTCCATCACTGCAGAAGTTCCACTGGAACTTCGCACAGGCCTAGAGCAAATTTAAAATGCAAGCTCCTTAATACAACTTCTCACCAGTGCGGCAACTGAACTTTTATTTTAACTTTATAACACATTAGGAGTATATCACAAAGAAAACAGAACTGGCTGTCATTTGCCCCTTGCACAGATAACACTTAACAGTAGTGATTGAGCCTTTTTTTTGGGGGGGGGGTTATACTAAAACTCTCAGAAGTGATATAAATACATAAACTGAATAGCGAGTGTGGATCAGGACCTCCTTGTAATTAACTAAAATATTCGCCTTTTTTATACACTTCATGCGACGTTGTAAATTACATTAAGTCCTACCTACAGGGCTTCTACTAGGGCATTGGCGCTGTTACTGGCTCGACGGGAGCGCAGGGGTCCGAGCC